GACTATAAGCTAGAGTTAGTAAGCATGCTTATTTCTTTTTAGGCAATTGGGAGAAAGCATGTTTAAAGAAAAAATAGCCTGGTATGTCATGGGGGATATGGTGGATTTACAGTAATGTTTTCAAAAATCAGTTATTTGGTATAGTTAGTGTGAATCTGAAAAAAATCACTCCTTCTTACTGAAAATGGGAGCTAGGCTGGGGAGGCTCTTTCTGTGCTGCAGGAAATGAAGAGAGAGAGAGAGAGAGAGAGAGAGAGAGAGAGAGAGAGAGAGAGAGAGAGAGAGAGAGAGAGAGAGAGAGAGAGAGAGAGAGTGTGGTGTGTGTGTATGTGTGTGTGAATTATCTCACTGGTACCTATGTTGCTGTTGCAGGGGCCCAGGGTTTGGTCATAACCACTTAAAATGGCTGACTTCTTATGCAGTAGGGGAGAAGCTGGAAGTTTGTGCGTTCGTTTATTTAAGGCAGTGACTGGGGACAGAGTAGGGCAATATTAGCTGATAATGGGTGAAGGAAGTAGTGGTGGGATTGTGTTGAGAGGGTGACATATAATTGATTTTCTGTGATTGGTTGGTCCCACATCCTTTGGATTTTCTCAGACACCTATCACAGTGTACCACATTAACTTGGAAACCACAGGGCTAGATACCAGCACTATTAGATGAATCTGGAACTGGCTGAATAGCTAAACTCAAAGAGTAGTCATTAATGGTTCAGCATCAATATAAAAAATCTCCAGTGCTGTTTAACATTTTTATTAATGAACTAGATTAAAGTCATATTTTTCAAATTTGCGGGTGGCACAAAGATGGATTATACCCCCACAATTATAAATGTTAGGATTCAAAAAGGCTGAAAAATTGGTTCAAATTCAGTAAGATGAAATTTAATAAGGACAAATGTAAAGTAGTATAGTTGGGTTAAAAAAATCAGCTTTCCAAAATAGATGAGATGTTGTTAGAGAGCAGTTTATGTGAAACAGGTCTGTACTGCAAGCCCAATATGACTCAATAGTGTGTAATGTAGTTTTAGGTTAGATTAAGAGTCTAGATCCAAATAGAGAACTTCCATATATTCCTAATTTAATGCTTCAGAGTAGTATAGAAGTTGTCCTAGATTCTCAAAGCCTATTACAGAAGGGTACAAGATCTGAAGGTTCTACCACATCAAAGATTTTGTGTACAGTGCTAGCAAGAGACTGTTTCTGCTTTTTGAAGACCTAACTATCTAAAGATAGAGAAGCCACTTAATGATGAATTCTTTGTTCCTGTCAACCCATGAAACAAAGAAAAATACAAAATGGGCTTCAAAGCCGCGTGGCCCCCTTATGCTTAAGAAAATAACCAAACTTTATTAATGCCTTGTTTTTATATCATTCATTTCTGAATATTTCCTCCTTCCCTTTGAGCCTTCCTTTGTATCTCACACACACACACACACATATATATCACACACAAACATATGTGTGTATATGTATATATTATACCTATATATACGTGTGTATATACATATATATACATATATATATGTATACACACACACACACACACACACAACAAAATGTATATTATATTTTTTGCGAGGCAATCGGGGTTAAGTGACTTGCCCAGGGTCATGTATCAAGTATTTAAAAAAAAAGTTTGGCAAAACCAACTGTAACACTGACTTTATCAGCTCTTGCAATATTCCACACTGCCATTAAATAACCCTTCACCTCTTATCAACACCAAAATATGCAAAAAGTCAGCCAGAAATCCAGGAAAGCCAGTGCTAGTGCAGGCAAATGAGCAAACAAGAGCTGGGGTATGTGTAGCCTCCCAGAGTCTTTGGTTGGAGGCAACAAGAGGAGAGCTCTCTCAATGAAGACCCATCAGATTCAAAATGTCCCATGGAATGAAATTGACCAATGTAATGTGGAAGCATTCCAAGCAAAATAAGCCAGCCACTCAGGGACCACAAGGTCGCTAACATTTTGTCCTGAGATTCCAAAGAAGGCTCTGAAAACCTAGTTCTCAGAAGCTCAAGGACTAACTATGAGAGGTACTGATTAGTGCAGGAACCCTGGTGACCTGTGGCAATAAGCAAGGTTAACTAATTCAACCACAGGCACAGCACAGGGAAGAGCCTGGAGCTATCACAATGCCCCAATTCAGGAACTAAAAGGTAGAGAAGTGAGAGATCCCCAAGAGGAGGGTAACATCATAAAACTGTAAGAAAGCCCAAAGGAAAAAATGGATTTCCCACAAAGACTAAATGAATAGAAGAAATGAAGCAAGTGATAAAAAATGAAATAAAAGCTCTTGAGGAAAAGAACTAGGAGTAAAAAATAGCTTAGAAGAGAAAGTGGCAAACCTTCCTCATAATGGACTCCCTTAAAACTAGAATAGACCAAACAGATATTAATGACTGCATATAAGAGTAAGGAATATTAGAATCAAAAGAATGGAAAAAACAGGTTATATAAAAATCTGATATAAAAAACAACTGGAACAGGTTAAGGAGAGAGAACTTAAGAATCACTGGACTCTCTCAAAACTATCTTTAAACAAAAAGCCTAGACACATTTACAATGCCAAGAAATCACAAATGAAAACTGTCTAGCTATATTAGAACCAGGGCAAAGTGGGATTGAAGGAGGATAGTATTGGGGAGGAAATAATCTTCAGCAAACAAACTTCCTAATTCCCTGAATAGGGGATTAAAAGGAAAAAGAAAACCAAAGAACTAGAATGTAAAGGTACCCATCAGTTGGGGAATAGATGTGCAAATTGTGGTATATGATGAAGAGACAATTTCAGAAAATGCTGGGTAGTAAGAAATGATGGAAATTAGAAAGAAAAGAACTAGGAAAACAATTTATATGAGGATAGCATTATAAAGAAAAATAACTTTGAAAGACTTAAGAATTTTGATCAGTGAAATGAACAACCAAGTTTTTATAGGACCTATGATACCTACTACCTCCTGATAGAAAGGTGATTAATTCAAGGTGCAGAAAAAAAATACATTTTTAGACATGGCCACTGTATTTGTATTTTGCTTGACTATGATGTTATAATTTTTTTCTTTCAGTTTTTGACTTGAGGAAAGGGAGGTTTGGTGAGGATGTAAGAAGTAGTTTGGTAATGGTGATGCCAAACAGAAGAAGACCAGTGAAACATTTCTAAAAATGAATAGTGGAGAAAGTGAAGGAAATATCAAAGGAAAGCAGAGATGGGAAAGAGAGTTTTGAGAGTAATGTGTGGAATTTGTTATACACTTAATGAAAAAAGCAGGTGGTACATGAATATTATGGAATAGTACTGTGCTTTAAGAAATGTGAATACAAAAAACAGACTTACATGAACTAATGCAAGTTAACACATTGAAAAAAAAGTCCACTATACGCAAGTACTACAAAGTAAATGAAAAAAAAACCCCACAAAACAAAGATGAATGTTTCAAAAATACAAAAAACATGCTCAGCCTCACAAAGAAGAGAAGACACCTTACCCCTAACCCCAACTCCTCTGAAGAGGTGGGGAATGGGGAGGTCTACAGATGTGTAACATTGCATATAGTCAGTCAAATTTTTTTCAAAGTATTTATTGGCTTTGCTGACTCATTTCTTCCAGAGAGTCAGCCAATGGAACTAAGAATCTTTTAAAAAGAAAAAGAGAAAATTCAAAGCGGGAAATTTTGGGTACATAAGAACAAAAGTATCAATAAAGTTTTATTCTAAAAATCAGGCAGTATGAGGTGGAGATTCATGGTTTTGCGTGCAAACCTCTTTTTGTGTTTTGCTGAGTATATCAAAATGCTCTTTTCCTTGGTGTTTAAATTTAGAATTAAAAAAAAAATAATTAGAAGAAAAGGAAGGCATATGGAGGGCAGTTATATGGAAGAAGGATGACTTGTTATGCTTTGTGCTAGAAGGACATGGATGGAAATTGCAGAAGATTTCAGGTGTCTATAAGGAAAAAATGCCAAATTAGAATGCCAAAGTGGAATGGGCTGCTTTAAGGACTCTTCAAGCAGAGGTGGAGAACAACTTGTAAATATGTAGTAGAGGGAATTCCTTCTTGGTTATGGGTCACTGAAATTCTGAGATTCTTTGATTCTGTAAAATTATTCAATGGGAGTCAATTAGGCACTCTAAATTGTATGAACTTGCAGGCCACTAGTCTGCTAAACTTCATAAAAGGCTTGCTTATTAATTTCTTCCTACATGCTAAACACTGTGTTAGACATTAGGGAATGTTTTGGTAAGACATTATCTATGCCCTTTTAACTCATGGCCTTTTAATGATGCTATGTTAAGACACATGAAAAGAGAACTGGTTGTCCTGAAATTCTGAATATGAGGTTGTAAAGACAAAACATCTGTCCCTGAGGAGTAAAAATACATGGAAGACTCTAACTGATCAAAGGCCAGAGAGTTTTTTAAGTGAAAATCAAAACTGAAAACACTCCAACAGTATTTCAGCTAGATTTTTTTATCAAAGTTCACCAGTTATATTAAGGATTCTAATATCTGTCATTTTTGTTTGGTGTTGATGTTAAGAATTTTAAAAACCAAAAGTTTTTTTTTTGGTTGGGCAATGGTGGTTAAGTGACTTGCCCAGGGTCACACAGCTAGTAAGTGTTACGTGTCTGAGGCCAGATTTGAACTCAGATCCTCCTGAATCCAGGGCCGGTACTCTATCCACTGTGTCACCTAGCTGCCCCTAAAAGTTTTTTTTTTTAAAGCAAAGTTTTTGAAGGGCAGTTCTGTAGAAGAAGGATGACTTCTTATGCTTAGTCCCAGAAGGAAATGGTTTAGAGAATGCAGTTTAATGTAAGTTACACATGATGATGGAATAAATTAGATCATAAATTTCCTTAATCTGCTTTTGGCATAATGACTGAAGGAAAATATTTAGATACATTGTATCACATTGTAAAAATTTTTTAGAAAATCTAACCTGAAATTTCAAAATATATAAAAAAAACTAACTACTAGAAATAAAGGAGAATGATTAAGTATGTTCTAACAAAATTTATTATGCAGTAATTACAAAGGTTAAAGACTCTTCCATTTAAAATAAAAATAACAGGTATAATTGCATACATAATGTAGTACCTTGTAGAGTGCTTTCAACAAATATCACAGGAAATACAGTGTATTTTCAAATTGGAGAGACAAATACTTTCTCATTCACAGTGTTTGACATTATAGGAAAGCCTGTTCACATAATAATTTGTAATAAAGTCATGCTGTTATTAACAGTCCACACAATGCTGTGTCAAAATAATTCTCTCAGAATGTGAAGTACCGGGCGAACCATTCCTGACGTTGTGGATCTGGAGAAGCCACTGGTGAAGCTTCACTCTGAGGAGGGCTAATTCATTAAAAAAAAAAAAAGAAATTAAATACAGCATTAAGCTTTGATACAAAACAAACTGAGACAAAGGATAGTAATACAGAACTTAACAGATTCTCCATATCAGAAGCTATGTTTTGAGCATTTTACAATCTATCTGGCAATATCCACTCCACTGGAGTGCATCAGCAGCTCAGATGAGAGTAATTAAAGAGCCAAAGCATAAGAATAAGAATAATACACTGAAAAAATAAGATGTCAAATTTTTTTTTAAAAGTCTGGGAAGAGCTATAGGAGAGGATAGAGTATAAGTATATTTTTAGCATTTGTTTCCCACTTAGCTTTAATCTGATCTTCTGAATTCAATAAGGCATCAGATTCTTAAAAGAAACTGCTTGCAAACTTCATCTAGTAAATGAATCAAAGTGTGCTATTATTTTACAAATATTTTATAGTTTCATGTAATCTTTTTTTAAAAAATGGTATGTTTAATGCCAGTTTACTGTCTTCCCCAAATTCTGTAATTACGATTATGAAAGGTAGAAAAAATGGTTGATAAGAAACTTAATACTAATTAACAGTTTAAGGAGCTAGTCAATAAAACAAAAGAATCCCTACCGTCTTTTGGGGAAATTATAAGTCACGCAACAATTTGTAATGAGAACTCCAGTAGTCATATTCCATGAGTTCATGCACATGCATCTTACTGATTCCTGAACATACTCATGCACAGGGAAAAATAAGCAACACAAAATATTTAACAGAATATACTTTAACATGAATTAGAATGTTCTTTTTTATTTATGATTTTTTACTCTTCTATTTTGAAGTATCTGTCACTAACCATATGGCTAATTATTCACTTGAAACTAGTTTAAATATCTACCTTTGGAAGTCTACTATTATTCAGTGTCTAGTGACAGTGAATATATTGCTAACAGAAGGGGTCAAATAAATGAAAAGTAACACTATTCACTATCATGTATTAAGCAAACAGGAAATTCTAGCAGTGCACAAATTTTAAGTTATCTGGGAACGAAAAACTTGAATTTCCTTCATAATTCATTAAATTATATGATAATCAACAACTATAAGGTAATTTATTTTTCTTTAGATATCTGAGTGATGACATTTTATGCTGAGTAGTACTGCATTAATTTTTCAGAGTTTGTATGTTTCCTATTTTGGCAATAAACATAAACTAATAAAAACTACTGAAGTCCAGCACGTAAGGACAACAGAAAAAAGAAAATACTTCCATAACATTGAAAACAATGTTACATTATTACTAATTGAAAAAATTTTAAATTTTGCAATGTAAACTAACTATTAAAAGGCAACTGGCAAAACAACTATAGAGTTCATAGAAAGCACTTGGAAACTTAAGAATTATATTATTTAAGATTTTAGGAAATAGATTCATAACTTAAAAGTCATTTAGGAAATATAATTTAAACAAGAAAAAGGAAGTATCATAATAATGAGGCTACAAACATAAAAATATAATTTCACAGAAATATTGGTACTCCTAAGCTATTCTTATGCCAGTGAATTTGTGTTACTAAAAAGGCAAGTTGTTTAAGTTAAAAAAAAAATCACTGGTGAGGCAATGCTCACCTCAAAAACGTCTTGGGCTCTTTGGATGGCATGACTGTCTGTGGAAGTGGTTTGCTGCTGTTGAACTCAATATCATGGATGGGTGAATTAGGAATGGGATCCAGGCGGTTAGGATGTCCATTGCCCACTCCACTAGGTTCCAGGGCACTTAGATTGGGAACACTCACAAACCTGTTTGTTGATTTATCATTCTTCTTCTTTTGCTGCATTAAAAATAACACACTGTGAGGAAAGTCCCTACATCAGGACAAATGAGAGGATATGGGAATAACAGAAGAAACTTTTCATGGGACTATTTTGGTGATTCCATCTTAAACTTGAATGTCAGACTAGTGTTACCCAAAGCGCAGTCTGGGAAATTCTTGGAAGCTTTCTCTAATAATCTCTTTGGAATCCTCATAGCCAGAAAGGAAGTATTACAAATTGGGAAGAAATGGTAATGAGAATTAAAGGGGAGGGGAAGGCATATTCTGGGGGGAAAAAGAATATATTAGGAGTAAAATAGAAATCAAGAGGAACTGCAGATACCATTACGTTAAAGGTACTGATTAAATAAACATTGGGGAAAGGACAATTAGATATAACATTTAAAAAGAATAGGGTCCATGAAATCTAATCAGCTATTGAGAGAAAGAAGTCTTTGGCTCAAAAAAAATGTGTAATAAGAAAATGCTTCAAGCCATCTGCTTTGATACATAGATTCATCATAACTCTCATGAAGAAAGGTTTTGACCACAGTACCCATGTTATTACATAGGGATAAATTTAATTTGGAAAAACTAAAAGAAATTCCTTATTTCCATTCAAGACAAGTAGCTGAGTTATAAAAATGATCATACTTTCAAATTCAGTGAAGAGTATTCAGGAAGACAGACAATTAAATCTGCCTAATTAGATCTAATTTACTAATTAATAGATAATGACATTAATTTGTACAGACATTAAAAAACCCTTTAGGCTAGAGAACTCACAGTCAATCTATATTTATTTCAATCTTCATCCCACAGGAATCTTTGAAATTATCAGTGGTAAAATAAGAGACAAGTTCATGAATCCCCAATGACTACCAATCTGAAAATAATTTAACACTAAAACCATTATGATTCCTAAGCAAGCCCTAAATTAGTCTGAAGATGGACTTCAGCCTTATTTCCTTCCCCAGCCTGTATAAGACCTGTAACTTATAAGTGGTGCTATTTTTCCAGTGTATTCTTCCCCCATCCCTCTACTCAATATTATTTAGGTGAATGGCCTATATTTGGATTGATACAGTAATTTTTCACTTTCATCACTAGAATCAATGAAGATTATTTTGTTGTACAATAATGTTAACAATAAGATTGTTACTAACAATCTTATTAACAATAAGTTTTATTAGCAATTATATTAACAATAATGTTAATAATGTTAACAATAAGAATAAACACACAGCAAAAGATTACAGTCAGTTATTTTACAGTGAAATTAAAATGCAACAATTACAATTTATGGAACAGTTTCTGAAAATCTGACATAGGAAATTATTTGTAATTTTATGTTAAAATGAGATATCCAAATTAACTAGTTAGGGAAAGAGTGTTTTAAAATATATTTTGTCAATAGATGCAACTACTACATATTTATGTAGTAGTTAGTTTCCAACTATTTAGCCATCTTTCTCTATAGTTGAAGTAGCTAAATCATATAGGCTCAGTAAACATACTATTCAGGCACAAAACAACAGAGGTAGAACATCTCTCATTAAAGTAAAAACTCAAATGTTAAAACTAATAACCATTAGGAATACAGCAAGTTAAAAACTTGATGGAGATATAAGTTCTGAATTTCCCTTTTTTAATCACTAAGTAGCCTAATAGAAACTTTTAAGATGTATCTTTCTGTATTTCAGGTTGTTGGGATAACTGAATAAAGTATTAAAGTTATAAATTTGTTCTCAGTGAAATTAATTACAAAATATAGAATCCCATCCTAAGAAATCTACTTTCCTCAAATCTTATATCTTTACTCTGAAGACTTATCTCCATTTAAGAATTCCCAACAGCTAAATTTTAATGACCTTAATTTATGAAATACCTAAATCTGAACTTAGGAAAATTTACCTTACCAAAAAAAAAAATGATGGATAGATGGTAGGAACTAAATTTTGTATCCTAATGTGTTGCAAACTGCAGGCCCCAGTCATAAAATATTAATATAGGCTTCTGGCTGAGAGCCTGAAGGAAGTTTGGCCAAACTCACTGCTGGGCTACTAAGTTAGACTTCTAATAAAATCTGAAAATATTATCCATGATAATGGTTTACAACCTCTTTGCATATGAGGATGTCTTTTTAATATAAAAAAAAAGTCAAAGGCTCCCACGTAAGAGTAGTTATGTTAATGGCCATTTATGGTAGACCCATGATGTCTTAAATGACTATGAATTTGGTAATAATTTTACACGAATTTGTACTTTGTCATAATAACATCCATATATCTTTGAACAATAGTAACACATGGAATGAGACATTATTCAGTCTACAGAAAGCATGTGTGCTTATTTTATTGTGCTGTCATTTAATGAGATGGACTCTATGCAGTAACTCCTACAGCAGGAGTACCTAGCCTACAGGCTGAGAACCACTTACCTATAGTATAATAATAATAATAATAATTAATTATTATTGTTCGTAGTAGTAGTAGTAGTAGTAGTAGTAGTAGTAGAGTACTATTATTCACACTAGGTAATAATATAAATAGCTTTTATCATTCTTGATTTTTTTTAGACTAATATTGTTCTCTGTCTCCACATATATTATCACTATGTAAATACTGTTAAAATAGACAAACATTTGGTATTCAATAGTTATTTATTAAACATTTACTATGCACCGGACACAATAAGGGATTATGTTATATATGGCACATGATTCCATGTATATGGGATCTTTATTAACTTCATTTACCTTTGAGGTTGTTCTACGTGAGAAGAACTGAACCAAGGATCATAATACGAATGCAAATATAATCTTCAAAAAGAACCACAGGATGCTGAGAGGAGTTAGTCAAAGCACTCTCTGAAAGTTTATATCTACCAAAGAGTACATGTTCTGATCAGGTACTCTCATGGTTTATCTGAGGCTTTCAGTTATGGAAGAGCTGAGTAGTACCTCAGGTTCAGGAATACCCTATTAACTACAACAGAAGATCATAACTTACTTCAAGGACTTATAATCGTATCAATATGGGTACTTTCTCTACTGCAGATCACAACACTTTAACTTAGTAATTTTTGAGAGCTGCTTTGGATGACAAATTAATCATTCTGTGGCCAACCTCCTGATAAAGTTCTTCAAACTTGACTAGGCTGGTCCTTGGACACCAAATATGCAATCCATCACTGAGTCCAAACCTAAAACCTTTCAGTTCAGTTATAGCTGAGATAGCTTGCATTCCCCTAAGATAGTCTTTGAGAACCCAGGGTTACCCTCCATGCCACAATAAAACATTGGAATTGGACTATGGTATAGTAGGTCTTTAGCAGAAGACACAATATGGATAAGTGGGGAAAATGTTAAGAGATTTTCTTACAGATTTTTATTAAGAGAGTGAAACAACAAAATGAGTATCCTAAAAGTTCAAGAATTCTTAAAGTATCAAAATCTTATGCTAATACTTAATTGTGGGGCAGGCAGGTGGTGCAGAAGATAGTGTATTGGGCCTGAAGTCAGGAAGACATCTTCCTGAGTTGAAATCTGGCCTCAGACACTTATTAGTTGGGTGACTTTGGGCAAGTCACTTAATCCCGTTTGCCTCAGTTCCTCAACTGTAAAATAAGATGGAGAAGGAAATGGCAAACAACTCCAGTATCTTTGCCAAGAAAATCCAAAATGGGGTTATAAAGAGTTGGACATGACTAAAACAACTCAACAAAAATATCTCATTGTGGTATGAGGAGACTCTCAGTTCTCAAAAGTTGTATCAATGGAGTGTAGGCTCTGGCAGGTTTCACCATGATGGAAAATCTTTTGAGTATCATCTGGATGACAGACTGATTCTGTTAAGGATTAATCCTAAATAAGTACAGAAGCTTCAATTAGTAGGTTGGTAACTAAGTAGTGAATTTTCCTTGTCTGTGGAAACTCCTGAAACAATATTATTACATAATGGACTAAAGCTGCTATTAGCCAAATTTTGAAACTGGATATAGGCAAAAATGCATAGGTTTGGCTCCCTATTATTTGAAAGGTCAAAAATATTAGACTGGTCTTTTTCGGGAACAAGTTTAATCTTATTAATACTACTTACGGTATCTTTCCATTTATCAGTCAAGTTTATATAACACATTCTCTCATAACAGTATTTAAAGAACATACCTTCATAAGCGGGTTAATAACACCAACATTAGGATTTGCATTGAACACTTTATTGAAGTTAGTTTCTCGATTGACTAATTCCAGTTGATAAAATTTATTATCATCCTAGGAACAAGAAATATTGACATTTTAGAACACTTTCAAAATAGAGATTTAAATATCTAATTAAGGAAAGAAAATCAGGAACTCAAAATCTTATGGAAGTGAATGAATGTTGAAAACTAAAAATAAATATATTTTAAAGATAATAAAAAAGGAAAGAGGATTCAAAAAATCTAATTAAATGTTTTAAAACTTATATGTAAATATTAGCTATTTACAATTTAAAATAAAAGCCATTTATAAATGCTTATAAATGCTGTGTTCACTATTTTCTAGGGAGAGTCAGTTGCCAGTGACCAAGATAGATAATGGTACCTAATTAAACTTAAAACATTGTTCCTCCCCAACTTATAAATCTATTTTTCCAACTGTTCAAAATCCTATTTCTTCATGGATTGAAAATGAGTATTTTTACTTGGATCTAGCCCTGTTCTATTGGTCTGGCTACATAGTTTCTGGTAGCTCTTTATGCCTACAGTGCATGCTCAGTTTATATAGTTAGTTAGGTCTCTAGAAAATCATGGTTAGATGCTCTTAACCCATCCCATTACCCCTAGTCTAGTCTAACATGCCACTTAATACATGAATTCCCTCCACTCTATCCACTGTGCCACCTACGGGCCCATATAAGCTTCCTTATATCAAGCTAAAATTTGCTTTCTTATATCTTTGATCCATTCATCCCAGTCCTTTCCCCTGGAAACTACACAAAATAAGTTTACTTGCATAACTTCACATCAGATGGTTGACACTATGCTAAGTCTTCCTCTACCAGACTATAAATTTCATGAAGGGAAGCAATATGTATTGTCTAAGCTTTGTATCTATCTACTCTGTGGGTAGCACAGTACTCTGCATTCATTCGGTGCTTTATAAATGGTTTGAACTGAACATTTTGTTGATAAGGCAAAAGTGCTCCATAAACTGGTGCTGGGCTCAGACTCTTTCTAAATGCTGCCTAACTATTCTCATACAGTGAGCATTTCCCAATTCCTAGCAGAGAAGATCAATAAGAAAATTAGTGAATTAGCATTTTCTGTTTCCATCGCAAAGGAAAACTATATGTTAGCTTAAAAAATAATGCCTGACTTAGAAATGCCAATATATATAATTTTTGTTCTGATTCCCTGTGCGAATCTCAAATATTACAAAATTCATTTACCCTTAGGCATTAATGCCTGCTGACTGAAAGCAAATCTTATTATTTAAAACTAACAACTGGTTACCCTTAACAATTGAAATATAAGCAAGATGCTAATTCACATCTACGTCATTTGTTATAAGTTATTTTTGAGCCACATTTGTATGTTATAAGCACTCACTTTCAATAGGAGAATAAAACTAGTAAGGACATTTTATTAGATACTGTGCATAAAGGTTCATTTACATCAATCACATTTCAACTAAAAAGAACACAGAATATCTTACAATTAGTTTCTTTATGACTTGGTCTCTCTCTGCAAGCAAGGTTTTCAAGTCTGCAATCATCTGTAAATCTTCGGTTCGTGACTCTCTCTTTACATATTTTTCTTCCATGTCTTCTAGTCTTTTTATGAAAACAGTAATATCTTTAGTTTACTGCTGACACAACTGAGTTCTCTTGCAATACCAACAATTTCAAAAGAGTCTAATTGGATAATAATAGAAAACATTTATTTTCCTCAAAAACTTTAGCTTAATATTTTTGTTTATTCAGGTATAAAACGGTCTGAATTAAAACAGCAACATCAATTTCATCAAAATGTTTAACTGAAAAATATTTTGTAGTGAAATGACCACTGTTAACACAATTATTTTAAGTAACTCAAAAGCAACTAGGTAGTTAGAGGGTATATGCCTGGCCTAAGAAATATGGGTTTGCCATTTTAAAAGATGAGAATGCTTTTAGAGATAATTGTTAAAAAAAATTACCACTATATAAGATTTGGTGAGAGGCAGCATGGCATAATGGATAGAAAGTTGGCTTCTGGAGTCAGGAATTTCAAGCCCTGGTCCTGGACATGTATTAGCTGTGTGACTCTGAGGGAATCAACATCTTAAGGCCCCAAGCAACTTTCTAAGACTATATAAGTTGCAGCATGGCTGCCAAATAACTACATTGGTGGATGGAGTTTCCTCACTGGGAGCTCCCGACACCACTGACTCTACCCCCATCCCTCCTTTGAAAAAAGACTTGATAGAGCATGTAATGAGAAGAGGGAACAGATACAGAAGGGGAAACGAAGACATACAAATGACACCATAATTTCTTAAATTGTATAAATAAATAGTATAATGCTGACAGAGTATTAAAGATTATGCTAACCATGCTACATGAAACCTAGTTTTTTCAGTGACCAAGCAGAATTAAATTCATCCCAATTCTGACAAGGGTGGCATTAGCAATGATAATAAAAAGAAATTCTAGGAGACACTGAAGAAATTATTTTACAAGCAGAGGCAAAGCAGAAGTGTTAACAGATCCAAGGAGAAGATGGAAACAGGGTGAGGAAAGCACACACGCATGCACGCGCGCACACACACACGAAACTGACAAATCCTGAGTATGTTGACTACAGAACTTACAGGATATTCTAGAAGAGAAGCTTAGAAATAACACTTCTTTGTTTTAATAGAACGTTAAGTTTGCAACGTTTGCTTTTAGTACTACAGAGTTTAAAAGTTCTTTGGAAATGGGGGAAAAATTTCCCAAATGTATATATTTGTTAATAGAGGAAAATTCAAGTTGCAACTACCTTGGATGGAAAAAATATAACGTTCATTCTGGATGTTCCTCTAATTTTGGTTCGGTTTTTAATTGGAAGTTATCTTGTAAAATACTGACTTGCTAGAGACAATTTTAAACCACTGAAATCAATAAAATTATAACTTAACCAGAATTTCACAACAGGCATTCTTAAAACAGTTTAGAGAAGGCGGCTAGCTTATTCCCAGTCAGAGTTATTAGTCTGGGAGGGCAGATCAGGACCACTAATCACAAGGAGATTGTTCTCCCTTTTTCCTGAGTTAAGGACAAGCCTATTTTGAGGCTACCTAGATTAGATGTAGGGACTAACATCTGAATAGGGCAGGAATAGCAAAAGCACTCTCAACCTACTCGGGTACCTAGACAAGGTCCATATGTCATGACTATGCTTAGCATCTTTTACACAGACTCTTTCTAGCCAAGATTCAAGTGATTATCTGCAGCATATTCTTATTGGAGCCAGAAGATGTCACTATAAGATTCTTCATCACAATAGCAAAACACATGACAAAGTGGGTTTCATGAAGTATAACTAGAACACTGAGGAGGTAGTGGTGAAAGGGATATTAGTTTTGAGCCTTATTTATATCCAAGGATAGTGAAAAATCATTACAATCGGCTCAGTCCACTATACAAAATCAATTTAGCAGCATCACTAATCATTAGCAATAATAGAACTGAATTATTAAAGGAAAGTGAGTTGATTAAATTGAGGAACATATATAAATTTTAAACATAAATGTGAAAACATCTATGAAGAAGATAACACAGGCACGATGCTATACAATTGCAAACATTTCTCTAGCATTATTAGGCCTTCAAAATTCTACCAGAAAAACAGAAATTTTAGCACTAGCACATTTAGCCAATGCCTCTTGGAATTATTCTGACCTGATCTGATACCCTAAGGGTAACAAAGTATTTCTAACAGGAAGTACATGTAGAGGTGACACTGAAACAAAGATCTTTCTGAAAATTAAACATAAAATAATTTTTTAGGAGAGGCTGTGTTTCTGATCCTTCTCATAAGGTCCACTGTTGGAATCTCATTAAGCAAACATGAATCTCTTTTTAATCCTAGGCAGACACTCCAAAAGTTAAATGCTGGTGGATAACTCTTTACGAAGACTAATACACATATTTGAATTTTAGAAATAATGTGGAAAATCCTACCAGAAAGTTTCTGAATTGACAAACTAAGAATGTTATTCTTTTAAAAACCAAACAACTGACTGCAAATTTTGTACGCATACTATATTTTTGATCAAGTCACTGACAAAAATTTGGAACAGAATGAGGCCAAGAATAAAGCACAGAGTCACACACCTACAGGTTAATATTATTCCATGAATCAATACCCTTTGCATGTATGATTTGACCCAGTTGCAAATTCAACTTTATGGATTAAAACTTTTTTCTTCATACATTGTCCTCATGAAGTAGAATTTTATATTCTGGACTAAAGTAATAGGTCCAATACAGTGTGTTTTTATAGTTACAGGAGTAGGATTAACACTTGTCTCTCTCATGAGGTTACTGTAACTACCTGAATAGTAATTCTAACATTATTGGGACTGACTTATCTGAAATATCATTGGTATGGGTATTTTCCCTTTACTGAAGTAGATCAGAACCTTGCTATGCCTTCTTTTCCTATGTAATCCTCATCTATATGCTTCTGTAAGTTCTTAATAAAGGAATAATATTGGAAACCTTTTTAAAAAATATCTTAATGTTATCAATGAGTTGGTGCTGTCTCTCATTCTTGTTATATGACCTATTTATCTCATGCTATTAATTTACACTACTTCTTGTATGTGTCATTAGTTATATGCTGCCACCTGTTGTTGATTATCTTTTGTCCTTTAAAAAATAAATTTTAATGATTAAGACGGATATAATTTTCCTCAAAGAACCTCTCAGAACAAAGAAGTAAAAAGATAAATTGAATCACACTGCAGAAACTGCATAAGACTTTCCATGATTCTAAGTTGCTTGCTGCTACAGAAGCCTATCTCTTTAATATTAGCAATATGGTGATGCAATATGATTATGAACTATGAATGCCATAATTTCAGAAGAGAGAAAAATTTCTGCTGCTCCAAAAGTTGATGGAAATACGAATGACCAGGTTTGGCAGAAATTAGGCTTAGACCAATATCTTACTCCATAAGTCAAAACTAAATAGAATTATAATTATATAGAACATCAAGCATTTAATATGGCTAAAAATTATAGGAAATGTTAAGACTTTACCATCATTTTTTTACATTGCTTTGGGCAGTTGGCTATCTTTGATGTTTACTACTAGCATAAACTCTAACTATAGAGAAAAACACTTATGTATATGAAATAGATATAAAATATATACAGCAACTCAATGGGCTATATGTATGAGCTATATGTTATCATATGGGAAATATGTTTTTACCAACTTTTTCCCCATTGTGGATGGTTAACATTTATCTTTTTAGGGAGGAGGAGGAGTAAGTCCAGACCTGTAATCTTACTGGTATAAGGACCTCCACGTCAGGAAACTTCCTCTAACAATGCAGATGGTTAACAATTCTGCAATTTATAGTCTGAGAATGTTTACTGGAAACACCAAGAGATTAAGTGACTTGCCAAGTATCACAGAAAAATATGTTAGAAGTGGGACTTGACCCCAAGTCTTTTCCTCTCTATTCATTACGGTGTGTTGCCCCTCCAAAACTGATCTACCTAAGGAATAATTATACATCTCACCAAAGAGGCTTTGTAGTGTTCCTAGGTTTGACACAATTAATATAATTACATCTATGAGTAGAACTGGAGAATCTTGCAGTTAATAAAGAATCTTGTTTGTATGTTGAGCAGGACATTTTCTATGATAATTTAGATTGGTAGATACCTTTATTTGTTGTTGCTATTCAGTACGTCCCTGAATAAAGACATACCTATAGTTGTACCTATTATAAAATCATCTATTAATTTAACATAGGTATGGGAGACACATTATTTGAGGGTCACCTGTAAGCTGAATTTTGTTCTACTAAATAAAATCCTAAAAAGGTCAGAAGTAACAGACATACCTAGGCATTCTACATATTTTTCAGTCAATTGTGTGACAATAAAGATGTGGTCTATTGTGGAAAACAATATATGTGCAAATATATAAAAGTATATGTACAAAAGCATACCTATTCCCTTCTTGTATTTTCAGACATTATATTGTGTTCTACCAAGGAAAATACTTAAAAGAAATAAACAAATAATAAATACATCCAGATAATCTCTATATTTTTCTACTTTGTCCTCTGTAATTAGATGCTGGTAAAAGAGTTGGAATCATTTTCATGGTGGCTTGTTTGCTTAGACTCGTGAGCACTCTACAGCAAGATTATCAAGGGTTCTACGAAATTATACTTCTTGTTAGCTTTGAGTGCATGATAAAATCAACTTTTTTATTTGCCACTCCAAGAAGAACATGAATTATCCTTGTATTCTTTATGTCTTCTTGCATACATTTTTAGTGTATGCAATCTAGTTCCTTCCCTACTGTCACCTTAGTGGTTACTAAAGATGGAAGATTAAGAATAACAACACAACAGTTAAGCTGTTTGTAGACTATTTAAAACTATGTGATTGTTAGCATCCTATGCTTCTTTCTTGCGCCCCTTGATTTCTATCACTGTAGAAATACATGTTTGAGGGCCTTTCCTTTATATTTGTGTCCATTTATTCTCTAGTGGCCAGTCTCCTGGTGCAAACCTTTGGATTGAGTCTTCATAAAAAAAATTAACCAATAACCATAAAAGGAACAGCAATTACTATATGATACCTAGTTTAGCAGTGAGGAGAACTGCCATCTAGTTAGGGATCAGCTGTATCTTTCAAGTTAGGTTAGCTTATTCCAAAGTTCAGAAGTTGAATTTTTTTCCAGGCACATTTTTTCCTTTCTCTTCTTGCTTGATGAAAAGGTTTATACAGTTTTTGTTGTTTTGAGCCTGAAGAAGTCAGCCTAATATCTAACCGGTTATGAGTATGCATAAACAATATTTTTAACACTACTACATTTTTCAAGGCCCCCCCCGCCCTTCAAAGAGCTGTGAACTTTCCTAATAAAGAATAGAACCTCGTCCAATGTCATTACAGGGAATTAAATTCTCACAATCCTGAAAAACTATCTTGAGTATTTGGGAAAAGGCATAAAATGACTGTACTGATGAATTTCTATTTATTAGTTTCAGATTTTATTGGTATAGAGAACTTTTGGTAAGGAAACTCTCTTGTACTACTGCAGATCCACAGCTGTTCTGCTCTGCAATGTAGAGAATTACAGTTTCCTGGGAGATGGGAAAGAACTGAGTGTCTAGTATGGCCAATAATCACTATACAGAAAGTGGAAAATTGCTATCATTTTTTTTACATTGCTTTGTAAGTGTTGGCGATTCTTGATGCTTACTATCAGGCTAAACTTAACTATGAAACCTCTGGGATTCACTAGAGCCTCAACAAATACTGAGGGCAGCTATCAAACTGGAAGCGCTCCAAGGTTATCTCTGTAATGAATGAGTTCCAGTGCTACTAAAGAGCATTCTAATTTTATAGGAGGTTCCTGGAGGTATGTCAGTTTAGACCCTTTAGCTCCTGCATTGGTTAGATTCCTTAAGAAGGCCATGAAACTTGATTCTAGAGGGCCAATGATGAAGCATGCTAGACACACTTCCTGATGGAGAGGTGATGGACTTCGGGTGCAAACAGAGACATATATGCAGACATACATGTTTTGGATATGGCCAATGAAGCAGTTTGTTTTGCTTGATCATGCATATTTGTTACAAAGGTTTTGTTTTTGTTTTTTAATGGGGGTATGGGAGGGTAAGAAATAGAGCTTTGTTAATTAAATAAACTAAGCTAAATTTTAAAAGGCTCTGTAGCTGATTTATTCCGTCTAAGTGTCAACACTAACTATAACTAGTAGGTTTCCTGTATTAAGTGAATACTGAAAAAGATTCCCTTGGATCATCAATTTCAATCCAAGATAGTCTCAAAACCAAATGTTTTATAACAATGACCAGAAATATTCAACAGTTCAAAAGAAGCTTCTAAGAAATAAACAATCTTCAGCTGTTTGAGTCAGTCTCTAGGCTAATAAGAGCAAAAACCCACCCCCCTCCCATCCACAGTAATTGGTTAATAAAGGACCAAGGTAGATATTAAAAAAGCTATTCAGCCAATCCAGGTAAACAGATATTAAAAAAAAAAACCCAACACCTCATACTTATTTGGCTTTATCTACCATCCAGTTATTTGCACTTATAAAATATTAGCATAAAAAGTTGTGATTTCATCTAATATCTATCTAATACCCACAATACTAAAAAAAAACCAGTAAAACAACAAAAAGAATACCAAAGACAATCCTTACCCCTTAAGTTTACAGCTTAAGGAGAAAAGATACATAGATTATTCTTGTAGTAAGTATAATTTTCTTTTTTTCTTTAGGTGGAGCGCTTTCTTGATTTCTTACTCTGTTCAGGGTTGGTCAAACTGACAAAATAATAAGGTCCCCAGGGGAAGAAGACAAGGAGATCTATCATTAAACAGCACTGAGATGAATAACGGAGGCATGATCACCAACGTCTACTTTTTCTCATAAGTAATCTGCCCGTTTCCATTACTGGGATTCTTTCATGTTAATAATTCATGTTTATTTGTTGAACTATAGAATTAAGATTTTTTTTCCTTTTTCTCTGAATTTGTGACAAAGGCCATGTTGATTTAATTTTTTCCCCAATAGGTCATTATAAGTCAAAGCACATTCTTATTCCATATTTTCTCTCATATGGCCATTCTTAGATGGTATTGGTGGGTAGAACTTTATTGTCTATGGAAAGCAGCCCTGCTGACCTAACCACTTAAGAGATTTGAAAAGCTGAGCTCCTTTGAATTTTATTCAAAAGTGTTATTTAGTTAAAATATTTTTTGTAGAGTTTAATAAACATTAAAGTAAGTACAATATTTCCTTGGCATTTATTAGTTAATTGTTTTGAGTTATATTCTTAAGATAGCTATTGTCCTAACAGTAATGTAATAGTTTGTTTAAATATTTTCTTAGTGTATGTGCAATCATGGTAAAGAAGGGCATAATAATTCAATTGGCTTACAGATTCATCCTAATTAAGGAATCTATCACACTGAAATAGTTATGCTATATATAATATATATTTTATAAGAACTCTTTTTATCACTAAAATATAGTAAAAATGTTAGTAGCTAATCTATCAAATACATATCTCCTTACTTAAACTTAACTATATATAAATTTTGTTTAATATAATGAAACTTACGACATTTGTAAAGCTGAATTTATTTCCTTGAGTAGCTCGTTAGTCTTATTAAAATCTGCCCGCATGATATTTTTCTCTCTGAGGTGGTCTGCTGTCATGACATCCAGCTCTTTTTCAAGTTTCTTGTTAAAATCTTGCTCATGCAACCTGTTTTAATTTATTTATTTTTTGTTAAGAAAAAGTTATTTGTAAGTCACTCTTTTATTTTACTGTATTCTGCCAGGTCTGAAATGGTTATATACATGGAAAATTTGTAGAAATAACCTACGTTATACTACTTACTTCTCTAATCTTCTAAATAGTAAAAATTGTATCCTTTAATGCTTTTTAAAAACATTTTAAAATTATTTTGGTTAATCATATCGATTTTCCAAAATTTATAAAAATACACTATTTAAACTATAAGTATACTTCATATCCCGTACATATCACCATTGCCAACAAATGATGGAAAACAGACTTCCAACTCCTTAAGAAGATGGCATCTTGGCATTATAAGATGTTAAATTAGCCTATTCCACATGACAGTTTTTCATATTAAACTGCATTAATATACACATCTTTTTTAATACATGAGAAAAATTTTCTACTGTAGAAAAAGTAATACCTTATTTGCTGGTTTGATTCACTGCGTATTCTGAGAATTTCTTTTCCCTTAAACTCCAACTCTTTTGTTAAAGCACTTATACTATCATGAAGATGTTGTATCTCCTTATCTAATTCAGATATGTGATGTTCTCTGTGCCTTAGTTCCTCTTGTAAATCTGATATGCGACATATATATTCTTCATCCTGTCACAGAAAAAGAATTCTTAAATGTTTTAATACATTAATATTCTGTTCATATGTGAGGAGACAGATTTGGGTCATGTGTACAAATCTAGATACAGGGGTTACAAAGCACAAATCAATCTTACCTACACCATAGGGCCCAAATTTCCTCCATTAGTATTTAAAACTTCTCATGATTTAGCCTAAACTTAACTCTTCCAGCCTTATCTTCCACTACCACCCTTTAATTACCTTATATTCTAGTTAAAATGGATTATTTACCACTCCACGTACATATCTATGAAAGTCTTGGTATGGAAGTTTTCTCCTTCCGTACCATTGCTCAGTTTCTTCTGTCCTTTCTGTACTGCTCTGTCATGTCAATCTAATTGCTATCAATTCCTCAAAATATGGCTCAAATAACATCTCCCCACCTTTCAACCCTGATGGAACTAATGTCTCCCTTATTTCAATTTCCATAAATTTGTTAAGTATTTAATTTCACATTTTTCTTATGTTACATTTGTGTTCATGTAATCTCCCAATGATAAGGTCTACAAGGGCAGAGACTATGACTTACTTTTCTTTGTATCCTCCAGTGTCTCATATATATAGTAGATACCCAACATACATTGCTTGAAAAAATAAATAATTGGACTGGCTCCTTTCCTAGTGCCTATAAATGTGTTCAGGTTTTTCTGTAGCCTAAAAAAATCTTCCTTTTGACCCTTTCAGCCCTTCAATTGGTTGTTCTATAGCTCTCCTCTTTTTCCCTGCTAAACTCCTAGAAAAAGTAGTTGATAGCATCCTGGAAAGATCCAGAAAAGAAGGAAACAGACAAGGGTCACACAGGATCAGAAAGCCTGGGTGAAGCTTTTAGAACATTTACTTCATTAATACGATTTTCAATTTGTAGAGGGCATGATTCTTTTATAGTATTTTCTACTCAGTAACTTGAAGCTTCATTTTCCAACTAACAAAATGGCAAACCTTATGGCTAGATCTCACCGTTGCACAAATAAGAATATAAAACAGTCAATGAAAATATATAAAATAGGATTTCATGTGACGAAAGCATATATGCAAAGGTCAAATTTTTACTCTTTAGAACAAAACTTCAACATATAAAAATAAAATGCCTACCAGGAATACTGGTTATTGCATTATGGTCTTTAAAAATTATTAATGTTTGCCACATGGCTGAATATTCTTATTTACCTGTCTTCTGCCAACTTCTCTGCTTCTCTCCAGTTCCATTTTAGCAGCTATCAATTCTTGCTGATGATTATGCCTTAACAAATCCATTGCTGCTGCATGTTGATGATTTAGTTCTGAGCGTAAGGAAGCTGGTTTCCATGAAAAAGGGGATCAGTTATTTCAAAAGTATTACTGATACTTTAGTAAAAGAAAATAAATAAGAATATTGCTGCAATTGAAACTGCTATAAATTATATATACCATGGGGTACGCACATTTAAGTACATTATTCTATCTTCAATAAAAATGGTAATTAAAACTCTAAGAAATGTGAAGTCTATCTGGATAGAAGACTTCCTACAACTATTTTAACTTTACTGTGTAAGTGGTATTATGATGAGTAAAATGTGATTACTGTTTTTCATTATTATTAGATTAATAGTATATGAAGAGATAAAGACCAATCTCTCACTCAATGTAAGAATCTCAACCAACTGATCCATAAGCAAGTATTTCTTAAGTGTTCACTGCGCTAAGCTCCGAGGAAACAAAAGTCAAAATATGAAACAATTTTTGTTCACAAGCTGTTCTATTCTAAGCTCCTCTATTCCTCATACATGTTCAAGTTTCTGCTTGCACCCACACAATGTTCAAGCAGAAAGCTTGCTTGTTACTTCATATGGTAACCCATTCCAATTTAAGAAAGCTTATATCTCATCGCAATGGCTCCCAAAGTTGCTATACCTTTAAAAATGACAAAACAAAGAACTTCATAATTTCTTTTAATTAAAGCATATCCTATTAAAAACAATTCCTTTGCTTTAATTTAGTTCTCGCACAAGTTAAGTAAAACCTGTGTTTCCATTCTACTAATGCTCCCCTCTACAGCTGCCCTTAGTTTTGACTTGTAGTGACTTTTAAAGGAAAAGGGAAAGTGAAACTGTCCAATATCTCTTAATCATAATAAAGACTGGCAACATTGCCTGATGGCTTTCCTTTTGTATTCCACAATACTCAAAAACACTTCTGTCTTCTCTTCATGTACAGAAATTGCATGTATCTAGTGTTAACAGCACATAAAGTAAAAAAATAATGTGGGAAGGTTGGGCGTGAAGCAAGGAGAGAGGGCTTTGAACAGAAGAGAGGATGGGAGAAAGAATAATGACAACATTCTAGAAAACTTTTAAGTAACTAGTAATTATGTAGTTCCTTAAAAAGCTCAAAATGACTTCTCTCCTTTTCAGTTGGTAGTGATTTTTAAATCTCGTGGCTAAAATTTGCTAGGAACGTTTTAAGTCACAACGGAATGTCAAAATTAACCGTTCATCCACCTCATTAATAAATGTTGAAAATTGTAAAGGTGACTCTAGTGAGCAACTGAGCAAGAAATGAGTTCTTCCCTCATGTGATTTCAATAGAAAAGGGACTTTCTTGGTAAGGAAATTCCTTCTAACAATTCAGATGGCAACTCTGGTAAGTCTTAGAGAATTACCTGGAAGGACAACTCACTTGCACAAGATTCCAAGGCCTGCTCTCTACCCACTTCACCATGCTGCTTTCTTTCCTGCCCACTCCCCCACACCCCGTGCTTTTCTGGCCTAGACTTGGGATTTCATTACTATAGCAAGGAACTTTCCTCTATTAATACAGATCAGAAATTGCTCATCAGCTTATAACTTCATAGAGTTGACTGAGACATTGAGAAATTTATCAAGCAGTTCTACCTATGAGCTCATATCTGTCAAACTTCTTTTTTTTTAAGTTCTGCAGAAGCACTAGAAAGCTTTCAGTTTCATCTGGGGTTGAGGTGAGAAGGGTCCCTTAACTTCCAATCTCTACCTCAATGTGCTGTCCAGGTATGGAGACAAATTGGTAAAGCACCATGGGATATTGCTGCAGGTAGCATGGAAAATTGGACATTTCTTCTTTTTGAGAGGTCTGTACTTCCCTCTCTTCTATCCTTTTAACCTTCATCTGGTAATGATATGTGTTTATTCAAGTGAAAAAAACCTTACATGTATATACTTTATTCTGATAAAATTTCTTAACATTAAAGTAATTTTAATTGCTGGTATATATAAATCTGTTTAAATGGAGGAATATAGTAAACAAGTATACGCAGGATTAGTTTTGCTGCCGTTGTTCAGTAGTTTCAGTTGTGTATGACTCTTTGGGACCCCTTTTGGGGTCTTCTTGGCAAAGATACTGGAGTGGTTTGCCATTTCCTTCTCCAGCTCATTTTACAGATGAGGAAACTGAGGCAGCAAAGAGGGTTAAATGACTTGCCTAGGGGTCACATAGCTACTAAGTATCTGAGGCTGGATTTGAACTCTGACTTCAGATTTGGCACTCTAACCACTGTGTCCCTAGCTGCCCCAAGAATTATAATCTAGATCAAAAAGTACCTAACATGGCCTTCCCTTCATCTTCCAATTCAAATCGAAGCGTTTGAAGTTCCTGTTCCATTTCTATCCTGAAACCCTCCATGGACATTCTATGTGCATCTTTTAATGACTGAAGCTCAGCTGAATGTTTCTCTTGTAACTGGTTTTCAAGTGCCTAGAACACCAAGAACAAGAAGTAATCAACTTTTATGTCTTAATGAAACAAATAAGTAGCAAGAGAAAAAAAACCCCAAATAAATGACAAATGTATCTAAGTACTTTTTTTTTTTTGCAGGTCCAGACATGTGATTTTGCTGGTGTAGAAAGGTCAGAGTAAGCAAACTCTGCACTTGCACATCTACAATCGTTCTGTAACAGGTAGCGTTACATAGTTGCTTAGAGACAATGGCTGGTTAAGTGTTTGGACCCAGGTCACAAAGCTAAGAGGTGTTGGAGGCAGAACTTTAATCCAGGTCTTCCTGACTTCTGATTCTCTCCTCTATACCACTATAGTGGTCTCTTCAGTCTATGAACTAGAGTAAATGAGTCTTTTATCTATGAATTGTAACAAATGCCAAACTTCTTTAGTATTCTAGTGAATAAAACAGTATTCCATAGGCCAAAAACTCTGTTCAAAGGACAGATTATTAAACAACAAAGTCATACAATTTTCATCAAATGGATTTCCTTTTTCTGTTTATTCTTTCTCCAGTCATAGGCTCCTTATCACCAAATCCAATGACCTTTTCTTCCTTAACTCTTCTTCAGTACATAATAGGTGATCACTAGCTTCTTAATATCTTTTTCCTCTTAGCTTCCATTCACTACACTCATAATTCTTCTTTTACCTTTCTGATGGTGACTCTTCTATCTTTTTTTCTGGCCTCCTTATCCATTTATCTATTAAATGTGAGTGGTCTCAAAGTTTTGTATTCAAACCTGTTTTCTTCTCTTTGTTTATTCTCATCCTTAATGATTCTATTCACTCCCAAATATTTCCTCCACAGAGATGATTTTCCAAATCTGTATTTTCATTACCATCTTGTTGCTAGAGGCTTCAGTTCTGGATGACCCCTTTTGCAGTTAACAAGTGGGGTAGCAGTTAAAAGGAAGTCAGAATGCTAAGAATTACAGTTTTCAGACCTTACTTACTATTATCAGACCTTCACTACTTTAAATGAAGGTTCTCTAAATGTGAGATCTCTGTTTGCAAACCAATACAATGGCATACTACTAGACAAAATGAATTATGTTAAACTGATATTATAGACAAACACAGCCAGAAGACAAAGGGAAGATTGAAAGGGTTCTTCCTAATCCCTTTAGGTTCTTTATTGTCCACATTCTACAGAGGACATTCCCTGTCCCTTCAGTCATTAACATTCTCCCATCTCAAGATTGCACTTTGATTGCTCATCTCTTCTGCATTCGTCCCACATTCCTCTGTTTTACAGTAGTTTGAGGGTATCTCCTTTTCTCTGCTGGGCCCTCTGAGGGGATAGTGCCCCATCTACACTTCTAGCTTCTCAAGCATCTCTTATTCTATTTTGGACTCAGTCAGGACAAATTAACTTTAATCAAATTGAGAGGATTGGAAGAAAAGCAGAATGTCATGTTATAGATACATACAATAAACAAGCTGAAAGCTATATAAACACATGCTATCAGTTGGTGCACATTGAGTGGCTTAGATAGCTGGTTTCTTGATAGAAAGCCAGGTTCATCTGTCAATGTTTCACTTCATGCCTTTTCTGTTGGCCCTTCCCTTTGGTTTTTCAAATTCTAGTTTGTAGCACGGCCTTACATATAAGGCCTTATGCCTTATCGCCCCTTTAGATTGCCAACATTCTGAGGCAGATAAAATTCTACCTTACTTTTTATATTTTGAGGATTTAATAGATGCCTTTTAGAGGTTAATAAATGTTTGCTCAATGGAACTGAACTGAACTGAATATGAGTCTGTAAGTCAGGTACAAACCTCCTGTTATGGTGAGGTAAGGTTTCCGGATTAAATGCTTTTCTGAAGCCTGAATTTTCATTTTCATTAAATGAACAGATCTATTCAGGCAACATAAACACAACTTCCTTAACTTTTGCCAACCCTGGAATCCAAGAACTTGCACTCTCCTAAGGGTTATCTTAGTCTGGAGAGAACATGGACTGCTTATAGCATCCTTATTTGCTGTTGTTTAGTTGTTTCTAGTCATGTCTGATTCTTCATGATCCCTTACAGGTTTTCTTGGCAAAGATACTGGTGTGGCTTGCCATTTCCTTCTCCAGCTCATTTACAGATGAGGGTTAAGTGACTTGCCCAGGATCACGCAGCTAGAGGCTGTGTATGAGGCTAGATTTGAACTCAGGTCTTCCAGACTCCAGGCCTAGCACTGTATTCATAGAGCCATTTAGCTGCCTCAGCATCATTCTAGGACATCTTACAGAATGCTTTGCAGAATAATTAGAGGCAACAAATAATGTTAAAGTATTTTTGCTTTCCAAGTTTCTCTCATTTCCATTTCATTGTGAGTTGCATAGGTAAGGAAAAAAGAGGAAAAAAATGTTAGTCTGGTCAAACACATTTTGCTTATATGTACTCAGCCTTATAAGAGAGCATAGATGATAAAAGATTATCAGTGCACGATAATATTAAAGGCCTATGGCTGTGTCTCTATGATTATGGACAAGATGGACTGAATGGAACATTCAGTTCAGTTGGATTTATTCATTATCACTATGTGAAAAGCCACATAATGTAAATCTAGACCCAATCATTCCTAATGCTAGCATGGAATTAAACTACGGAGCTTGAACACATTTTTTTCTTTTCTAGTTCAATTTATTACAATTGTATCCATTAGAACTATGTCACCAGACACCATGTCAATACACATGAACTCTTCTGTTAAGGAACTCACATCCTAAAAAGACAGAAGCATTGTAAATACATAAATAAAGTAAAATGGGGTTGGGTTTGGCTTTTTTCTTGGGGAGGGTCTCTGTAAAATAAGTTCTGAAAACTTGGAAGGCTATTTATGATTAGATCAGACTCAGGGATTTTCAAAATATGCCATTTTGTCACATTTAATGTCATTAAAAGATGCTAAATATACCTTTTGCTCTTGTTCTTTTGTTTCTTCCATATTTTGAAATGCAAGGACATGTGCTTCTTTTAAGGACTTGTGTCTTTGTTGGTGTTGTTCTTCTAACTCTTCAAGCTCTTGTGTAAGCCGTTGTCGCTCCTGTGTAAACTGGGCTTGTAGTTGCTGCAAAGAAGTCTGAGACTGGGACAGCTGCATCTCCAAGTTCTGTTTCAGCAAGGAAATCTATGCCACGGGAGGACAGACAAGTATAAATACAAAGCACATTTTATGAACTGTCACTCCACGGGAAAAAGTCTTTCAATGATAATTGATTTTAATTAAAACTTTTTTAGGAAATTTTCACTTGTAAAATGTTTACTGTATGATGACACTGTAATATTTGTGTTTAATAATTTCCATTTCATTTTTCACAAGTTGTTCTTGAAACTGTATATAAAGTTCCTAGATTTACTGTATATAAAGTTCCTAGAACTTCCTGGGGAATAATGTAATCTATATGCAGAAACACAATCATATATTCTGAACTGCAATAAAATGTCAAATGTATCACACGAAATAAGGTTGTATTATAATCACACTCACTTATATATTTGTAATTATGCAAATATATAAATTTATTTAAATTAGTTGCATCTACCTCAAGAGGACAGTATCAAAAGGTCAATTTGCTTTTACAAACTTTCTTTTAAATCTAGGTTATAAAATATTTAAAAAAACACATTAGAAATATTTGCTATTTCATTATCTAATATCCTTATTTGATTTTTCTTTCTTAAAATGGTTACCATAAAGGACCTTAATTTTTAAAAAGTAGTGCATAGGCCATCAAGCCATAAAGTCTTCTAACTCTCTTTTTACTTTACCTCTATGCCAGTATCAGGTGCTTTCCTTTCAATCCAAGAAAATTATTTACTAAATATTTTTGAAGACAGGTAACACTACTCCCAATATAAATTTGTACTATACCTGTCAGTTTTAATACAAACAAAATCTCATGGTTTTTCTTTTGTTCTAAGTATGAAGGGTAAATGTCTGCATTGCATGTGTTGACAGACACACATGATGAAACCAGTTAATTTTGTTTGATGTCCTATTTAATTTCTGTTCTAATGGCCACTACCCTTTAAACTTATATTAATCAAATTCCAAAAATAGCTGCTGCTAAATATAGTGGAGGAATAGCAATTAATGAGGGACTGTGAAATCAGTAATTAAAAATGCTATATGCAAATCAAGCTAAATAGATTTTTCTGCTAATGAGAAAAATGATTTTAGAGTAAATAAATCCCTTCTTCTAAGTGGTAGGAAGATAAGTATAGGGTTTCATATTCCCCAGAAGCAAAATGAAGACTACTTTCATGATTCTTACAAGGAAAGATTTTATAAATGAGAAACTTAGTAAGAGGTGGGCTGAAGAGTCACTTAAACAGCAGATTAAGAAAGGAGAAAGAAGTATGGGTTGAAGACACAGTTCAGAAGCAGATGTTTCTCTTTTAACCAGTAAGATATAATCAAAGAAAGGTCTCCCTCTTGCTAAAGAAAGTAGTAAGCCCAGGAACTGGGGACAAACCACCTAGGTTGTTGTATTTTTGCAGTCCAAACTGAGCTTCAAGGTGAATTGTAAAGGTCAGTGTATGCTGTTATGAAAGAGTTAAGAATTAATGAGTTAGGAAATATATATTCATAAATTGACAATATAAATAAAAATCTTGGGAATGTTATTTTAATAAATTGCTCTTTAGTAGTATCATTTTAAAATTATTTAAGGAATATAAGTACTAGTTATTTTAAAACTGTATTTTTGTACAAAACTGAATTTTGTAAACTCACATTTCTACAGCTAAAGGCAAAATGGGTCAAAGAACAGAACCAGCCTCACACAGACTGTATACAATTATTACTCTAATGGTAGCCTTAAGGGGCAGTTCTTAAGTGGTAAGTCAACCTCTTAAATATTAACAACTGCAAATCTAAGTCATAGAGGCAACAGCCAGTGCCATCTCCTGGGGGTACAGAACCTGAGGTCAATAAGGCTATGTGGCCCTTACTCCCCACCCATAACACTTATACAGGTGAAAATCAGGCTGAATCATACATTAAGGACAATTACAAGTGGGGGGAAAAGAAGTCAGAGAAGGTCAACATGCAGCCTGAGGGGTGTGTGTATGTAAGGGCTGACGGGTGTGCATGTGTATGAGTCACCTCCTTTTCCCCAGCTGGCTGCCTTCATGAGTCAAATGCCCAGCCCACTGGTTCCTGAAGCAGGACAGGTCCCCGAAAAGCATGGGGCCCAGGCGCTCACCCTGATTCACAGTATCCTAGGGGTTCTCTGGTGACAGCTTTGTCACAACATGTATGAAGGGCTCTGGGAAGAAGAGGAAATTGACATTTTCTAAATGAAAGACCTTATAAACCAATAATTTTATTTTTAAGCTTGCAAAACAGTATTAAATAGGAAAAAATACTTGATAGTGTCCTCTGAGTATGTACTTAGATTTGTAGCCACAGAAATTTAATCGATTAAATGTAATGTGCCTGTGCTGTTGTGCATTAACTTAAAAGTTCACAGCACCAAAACCACGCCCCCCATCATCAACCAAAAAAAAATTTATATTATATTACTTATTATGACTAACATTTTCAGTGTATAAAGAAAAAGGAAATTTCTGAGGAAATATTACATTTAGATTAACTACAAATGAAAAATCATATTATTAAATGTCTTTTACATAAAAGTATCTACATGTTATGTTAAACAAATTTTCCTGCAATGGGAAGAGTAATTTTGGAAATCTTTTTTCAAGACAGATAATATCAGTTCTCATATAAATCTACATTCTAAATTTTCCCAGAATAAAAACAAGTCAATACATGTTTTATAACATAAATATTCTTTAACTTTAAAACCATTCCAAAATAATACAATTTTACTTCAAACATTTCTCTGGATACCTGGATAAAGCTCTTGATTCATTTTCAAGACAACTCTACTCAAAGAACCTTTGTCATGCAATTTAGCATTCAAATTTATTGATTGTTGCTCTTTCTACAAATGAATTAGTTGGATGGCATAAAACTGTCAAGCCATATTCAGCATGAAAATTATATGGCATTTAAAAAACAAAAATGAGAAAAGCAATGCAAAATGAATTGGTATTTTTTATAAAAACTGAATTTGGTATATGCTGTGAAAACATAATACAGTAAAACCTCATTAATTTGAAGCACAAAAGACAACAAAAATAATTCTGAATTTAATAAGTTTGGATACAACTTTTTGTTACATAATAATATGGCATGTAGTTAACTGAAACAGCATTTTAAAAAAAATTATGCACTATTTTAAATGTGCTGATAGAAACAAAATGAGGTTATACAGTATATAAAGCTATAGTTTCATCCACACTGATTACAATTCTCAAATACTCTGACGATTATTTTAAATATTTTTATTTTGCTAGTTCGTATTTGATTACTTCTTAATGCTCTCCAATTCAGTTAATTTTATCATTATGTACTTGAGTCTCACTTTCTCCTAAGTTCTCATTTTTATTTCACTTATTTAAATTATGTGATACATGCTTAGATTAATAAGCACACTATACTGCACAGTGTCTTCTTAAAAATTTCCCACGTGCCAAACAGCATTAGTACAAATTGCAAGCTTCAGGTCTATGTCAAATGGAATTATGTGGTCTGATTAACTTTCTTGTTCCATCTCTATCAGATTGCTTTTTGGTAAATTTTTCATGTAGAAATGAGTTTGAAATCTAAACCTGAAGTTAAATTATTTAAGGAAAATCTTTGCTTAATAACCACCACCGAGTTTTCCAAAGGGTTCTGTGATGGACAGGACCCCCTCCACAGGCTTCACAGAGTCAGATCAGAAGTTGTTAATCTGAAGGACTTAAACATGTTGGGACTTTAAAAGAGAACACATAACATCATGTAAGAATACCCGAAACCTTAGCTTTCAGTGCTATCACCAGGTAATTCAGAATTTTCAAGATATTTTAAAATCTCTATAGTTCAGAAAATCCTAGAATGTTAATTTAGAGATTAAATGCCATAAGACTGTAAATCACTGGGCTCTTAGCATTAGAAGAGTAGTTAAGATGAAAGCATCAATTATTCCACAAACTCTAACTCACTGAATTCACGACATTATGATAATATTGTTGACAAAAAGGGTAGTCACATAGATCATAGGCTTGTAGATCTATATCTGGAAGAAACCTCAAAGGCTGTTTAACTCACATCCTCCATTTTAAAGATGAGGAAACTGAGGGTCAAAGGGTTTAAGTGACTTGCCTAAAGTCATTCAAGGAGTAAACATCAGAGGTGGAATTTGAACCTGGGTCCTCTGACTCCAAAACTAGAGCAACAGTCCTGGTAGATCCTAACAAACAGGTAGGTCTCAAATACGAGTGGTGATGAACTCCATGTCTGTAGTTAGGGGACCAGTTCAGAGAAGCTCATTATCAGTCGGGCAAGATGATAAAATTTTTAGCGTAGCAACTCTCAAAGACCAGTATGCGCATTGATGAAATGACAAGTGTCAAAAGTATCACAGTGCATCCTCAGTTTATTCTGTTAGCTAAGAGGGGGAGAATAAATAGTATATTTATTATCTCTACAATGAGGACAGTAGGTAAAGTCATATTAATTTAGTCTCCTAAAATGTTTAAACAACTACATATCTAAGTTATTTCTAAATTTGTATAGAAGTTTGAAAGGTAACAAGCTAATGTGTGTGTCTGTGCATTTAAAGCAAAGATTATAGAAGCAAGTTAAATTATAGGAGTAGTTAAATGGCAATCACAGGAATCTACTTGAATAAAACCTCATTTAACTTTGACCAGAGAACATGTCACTAAAGAACATTTCACTTTGGTGAATGAAGTGAAAAGGCTAAATTACAATTTTTAAAAAACATGCAGCAATTCAAACTAATAAAAGCCACATAGTTATCCTTAGGTTTTTTTAAATTAAAGAATACTTTGTTATTAGCATATATGCATATATACATATATATGTATCTATATCTTGTGCGTGTGTATGTGGTGTGTGTGTGTGTGTACATACACTTTCCTACAGAGACCACAAATCTCATTTAACTGTATCTCCTAGCAGTGTTCTGCAGAGTAAGGCCTTATTCAATGACAAAACACTAAAAACTTTACTCAAGAATGTGAATCGGGCAGCTAGGTAGTGCAGTGGATGAACTCTGGCCCTGGAGTCAGCTAGAGGGAAGGGAGACCTGAGTTCAGATATGGCCTCAGACACATGACACTTGCTGGCTGTTTGACTCTAGGCAAGTCACCTGGACCCATTTGCCTCACCCCTCCCCCCCAAAAAAGAATTTGAATCAGTACCCTTACAATATTTTTTAAAGATATTTTCTACATTACTACTATATAGTATTTATGGAGAAAATATCTGCTAAGCAAAGTTAAACTTTGGCCATATGCAGGTCCAAATAATCCCAAATTCTGAATTTAATGGATAAATGGATGAAGTTTTATCATCTCCTTACCCTTTCCTTTCAATTTTAAATGATAAAGGAGACCTATAGGGTAAAAAGTTCATGACTAATGGGGATAGTTAATAAGATGTCTTTAGAATATTTGTAGTATTATATGTTCCTGCTGAGTCTTCTAAAAGCTAACTAAAAATGTGAAAACTTATATAAGAACCAGCGCTTTTAAGAATTAATATAAGGGGCACTAGGTGGCACAGTGGATAGAACACGGGCCCTGGAGTCAGGAGGACCTGAGTTCAAATCCAGCCTCAGACACTTGACACTTACTAGCTGTTTGACCCTGAGCAAGTCACTTAACCCCAATTGCCTCACCCCCCAAAAAAAATTAATCTAGGGGAGGAGGAGGTAATTATTAAGGTAAGAATTAAGCATGGCACATAAATTTCTAAGAAATACTAATTAAATTCCTGTTAAGTGCTTAGTTTTACTACCTCTCCTTGTCATAGTGGGATAAAAAAGGCTTAGCAGTAGGAGTGAAATACAATTAGAAGGTCTTAAAGAATTGTAATATGTGGCTTACAAAGCTAGTGAAAGATCACTGTAAAATTTTCAGATGTTGGGTTTAGAACCTGAATACTTTCTAGGAAGAGTATAATTTGGAGAACACAAAGTCCAGAAATGATGATGGGCTCAGTCACTTAAATACAGTAGAACAGAGATATTACTTAGAAAAAAGTGTGCTGATATGTGATTCAGCTTAATTTTGACTATAGTTCTAGATCTTGTGTTGCCAACATCCTGCATTCCAAAGAGCGAGGCAAAGTATAGGTGATGTGAAAATAGCAAAACTAAAAATTAATTTCTAAATAGTCCGAATAGACTCAAGAATAATATGTTACTCTCAAAAGGGAAGAATTTCTAATGAAGTCTTATTTCAATAGAACTAATAATAACATAGTTATATGGTACTTGCATTCAGATTTTTCCTGTGAGGCTGACATGGTTATGACTTTGGTGCCATAAGAAAATCTCAAGTATAAATGTTTTCTTTGGTAAGTACAAAGAAGTTGGGGAGGTAGAAATAAATAGCTGCAGTTCAGCAGCAAAATAAATTTCAAAGTATATGAACTTTGAAGTGTGATTTCTCCAGGATGTCAAGGAAAACATTTCAAGGTTTATTCTCTTAATATTATGAAGTTAGTATAAAATTTATTTTTGTTCTTAGAAGAAAAACGAATTTTAAATTTATAAATATTACTTTGCTACTTCAATTTGTGCATCCTTCAATGCATATGAGTCACTATAAATCCCTGAAAGGCGATAAAATTTCATTGTGCATTTCTTTGTGCTTATAACTTTCGAATTTCTAAAATATTTCATGGACAAACATAAACATAAATTTTCCAAACTTTCATAAATATTTAACTGTATCTTTTAAGTCCTGAAGCTTAATAATGTTATGTTTTAATAAACTAAGAGTCCGAAAAAATAGAAATCCATTTTTAGTGTTTGGGTGTGTTGGAATTCATTGCCAATTTTATTACTAAGCTGACTAGTTAATTTTTAAAGCACTACCTTCATTCAGAGTATCAAAGAAAAGCATCGTCAATTTTTTATGCTTAAGAACAGTGCTATGAAAAGCTTGCTTTGATTTTGTATAAAATGCTATGTTTATTAATATGATAAAGTGTTACGCCAGATGTGAGCACATACACAAATGAATGGATGCAGTCCAAAGCTTTTATTAACCACATCTGAACACGTCTTCTTCATGACTCTACCAACGTGTATTTTGCTATCAACAGGCTGAAGCGTTAAAGCAATGAAGTCACTTATGCAAACTGAGAAGTGCAGCATGCCCTTGTGAGCAAACTCTAAGTGCAGCTCACTTACATTGTTGATAGATTTATGCAAAGCTTCACCCAGACAGTGCCTCTATGAAAAGATCACAGGAATAAAGGGAAACATTCAGAAATCAACTAAGTGAAAGAAAAAGGGATAAAAGGAAGAGTAAAACACAGAACATTAATTATACTGAGGAAAAAGTTGAAAAACTTCTGAGAAAGAAATTAGACAGACAAAATTGGTGAAGGCAATTTAAATTTTTAGCAGCCTTTTAAGTGTGCTGGATGTGTTTATCAGCATGTAGACTTACCTATGCAAAACATTCAGCTTTTGTGCACACCCATCAGTTCTCAGCATAAAGAAGTTTGTTCATCGTGGTTACTGAGGGCCTCAAAAGTAAATGTTCATTGGAAATTTTAAAGATTTAACAATAATCTAAACATAATGGTTTTGTGGGTGAAAGGAAGAAAAGTGTAAAAATAATCATTTTCTAGATATGTTTTGAGATGCTTTATCAAAACTTTTGAATCACACAGAAGAAAGAATTAGAAAGGGATAAAATCATGAGAGGGGAAATGTAATTTCATTTTGTACTGCCCTTACATTCTTATTAAACAGCACTTACAAAACAATAATTTTAGCAGAATATTATCTTAAACATAAAATTTCCTTTAAAATGGTTTTACTTTAGAGCACTCAGCCAATTTTTGGTATTGCTTTGATCTTCCACTAACTTTAAAGAGAAAGAATATGTTCGTTTTCTGTATCAAAAACCTAAAATCATGATAAGCTTGTGTCACAAATTGAAGATTTTGGAACATTTTCAATTCTATGGCCTCTCAAACTCAACATGTCGAAAACAGAATTTATCATTTCCACCCCACCAAATCATTCCCTCTTCTTAACTTGCCTATTACTGTCAAGGACCCCATCATCCTCCCAGCTGTCCAGCTTCATTCTCAATTCCTCACTTACTTATACCACATATCCAGTTTGTTACCAACTCTTGCTGTTATATCCCCATCTCTGTACTCAAAGCCATTACCCAGGTTTATGCTTTTCATTTCCACTTAGGCCACTACAACAGTCTTCTAAACTGGTTCCCTTGTCTCAAATCTCTCCTCATTCCAATACAGTTTCCAAACAGGTCTGAACCATGTTACCTTCTTGCTCAATAAGATACAGTGGCTCCTTACTCCTTCCATGAATGGCTATAAACCAGTCACTAAGTGTTTATCAAGTGTCCCCTACGTGCACATATACAGGTATATATAAAATATATACATAAGGTAGCTTTGTGGGTGGCTGGAGTGGGATAATAGCAGCTGGGAACAGAGGAGGTCAGGAAAAGCTTTCTGTAGAAGATGACCTAGAATTTAATTCCTTGAATTAAACTCAAGAGTAATTCATCACATAGACATTAGGTAACCAAGTAAACACTATGGTTTTCAAAAAGACAGACACTTAAAACTAGATGATCTCTGAAGGGAACCAGGGATTCTAATGGGCTAAGTGAAAAGATCATTCCAGGAATAAGAGATAGTCATGCAAAGACAGAGATATGGGCTTTGAAGTGTTATGTACAAGGAACAGAGAAAGCTAGATGGGGGACAAGTAGGGAAGGATTTTAAATTCAAAAAAGAATTTGCAATTGATTCTAGAATAGGGAGTCACTAGAGTTTATATTGAGTAGGAACTGAAATGCTCAGATCTGTGTGGAGGATAGATTGGAGAAGACTCCAAATAGAAGGCTATTCCAATAGTCCAGGTGAGAGGTGAGGAGGGACTAATTAGGATGGCGGCCCTTTGAGTACAGAAGGGTACAGATGTGAGAGATTTTGTAGAGGCACAACTAAATAAATATGTTTACCTAGACCATAGCTCTCTTCCCTTGCCACTATTCCCCAAGATGTATGATAGCCTCAAGAGAATGCAAGTTCCTTGAGGGCAAGGACTATCTTATATTTGTACCCCAGTACTTAGCCTGTAGGTGCTTGGCATATAGTGCCAATACTCTTAACTGACTGATGTTAGTTTGATGTAAATTAAAAAGGATGGGTAGGATACAAACTGATTCGACGCCATTATGGATTTGGGATTGCATCTACTGGGAGACCATTCCTACCAACTCTTATTTAAGCAGTAACCTTTTTGGGGGGAGAGGAGTAGTGATAGAGGACCAGACATTATTTCATTGATATGGTGAGCTTGCTCTCCATAAGGAAACTCCCTCAACTAATGCTTATTAGCAGCTGTTCTGCAATTTATACTGTTTTTAAAGAGTAATCTGGCTCTGTTATTAAATGACTTGCCCAAGAGCACAAAGCCAACATGAGTTAAAAGCAAGCAATGGCATTTTGTTGTTGTTACTCAGTCATATTTTAGTCATGTCTGATCTTTGTGACCCCATTTGGGGGTTTCTTGGCAGAGATACTGGAGTGATTTGCCGTTTTCTTCTCCAGCTCATTTTATAGACAGGGAGACTGAGGCAAACAGGGTTTAGTGACTTGTCCAGGGTCACTGCTAGGAAGTATCTGAGGCCAGACTTGAACTCAGGAAGATGAGTCTTTCTGACTTCAGTCCTGTAGTCTATCTACTGTGCCACCTAGCTGCCCAATAATATTTGATAGAGGTTCTAAAGAAGCATGTCAGAGAGTAGTATGACTTGTAAAATACTTCTTTGCTACTATGCTAAAAGCTGATGCTAACTCTAAGGATCATACAGATATCCTTAGGTTGGTCTTGTTTTCTTTCTAAGAAGAAAAGGGTATAACACTGATAAGCAGTAGAATAACTGCCTGAAATCTGCATTGTGCTCATGTAAACCGTTATTTTTGGGAAGAAACTTAGTCCTCCAAGCTATTAAAAAAAGCTAGCATAGTTCTGAATATGTGATTTTAATATTATAAAGGATTTCTCTTTTTAAAGGTGAGTATATTAGATTACTTCTATTCATGCTGATAGAACTTTGTAGAGTTAACAGGCTCACCATTTGGAATAAATTCTTAACAATTCTGGTTTTAAGAGAACATCTCTTGAGGCTTTTTCCTTTTTTGTTTCTCTCATGGATTTATTATTGACCATTTGGAGAAATCCTTGAAATCTATAAATTATGGAGAAATCATATTACTTTTGCCAAGTGTTTCTAAAATGCCTCTTGCTGAGGTCATATACCATAGGCAAAAATGTTGCCAAATCTACTTATCTGAGGGCCAAGACAATATGTACACATATAAGTATCTATAAGTAAATACAAGAGAATGGTGGGAGGAGGCACTAGCAGCTGGGATTAGGAAAGATTTCATGTAACAGATGGTGCATGATGTGAATTTTGAAGAGGTAGAGTTAAAGTGAGAGAGCAAAGTTAAGTCAAGCATAGCCAGTACAAAAGTATGATGACTAGAGGCAGAATGTTATGTGTAGGGATTAGCAAGAAGGTTAGTTTGTCTGGGCCACAGCATATAAAGTTAGCCAGTACTCTTACCACTATATCATGCCACATCTCATAATCTCCTAAATCCAATTTTGTACTTATAAAAGTCACAGAATTAACATAATTGAAAATCAAGGTTAAGTTTAAGGGGAAGAATCTTATAATATTATCCAGAGGGCTAATTATTAAAGAATTAATAATGCTGGCCTCTATGGTTAGAAACATACATGTAGTTTTCCTTAGATTTATCCCAGTGAATTCTATTTAACATTATAAAGTTGTAGGGCTCAATGAGACTGATTAGACATTTCTCTACGGTTTAAGAAACTTTCTCTAGCTAGGCCATGGGAAGACAGTGATAGCCTTTTTAATCCATATTTTCTATAACTGAAACCTTGAGTAGACTATTATTAATCCTGGAATTCAAAACTAAACTAGTCGATGGACACTTTAAAAAGATAATGCTAAGAAGATTATCAAGTTGCTTCTAGAAAGATTGGTGCGAAAATTGGTAAGGCAGGATAAATCAAATACACCTTGCAAATTAGACATCTAAAACTCAGCATTTCCAAACTATACTCATCATCTTTTCCCCAAACCAACTTCTTTTTTCCCTAACTTTCCTATTTCTGTAGAGGGCACCACTACTCTCATAGTTACTCACACTTGCAACCTAAGTGTCATCCTCTCCTCCTCCCCCATATCCAATCTATTTCCAAGCTCTGTCATTTCTAACTTCCTAACACCACTCCTATAATGTCCCTATCTCTCCTCAGACACTGTTATCAACCTGGTGAAGAATCTCATCACCTCATACATAGGCCATTTCAACAGTTTTATACTTGGTCTCTCTGTCTCAAATCTCTCCCCACTCCAATCTATCTTCTACTCAGCTGTCAAATTAATTTTCCTAAAGTGCAGGCCTGACAATGTCACACCAATATTTAATAAACTCCAGTGGTCCCCCTACTGCCTCCAAATAAAATCCTCTTTTGGCTTTTAAAGCCTTTTATAATCTGGCCCCTTCCTCTCTGTCCAGTCTTCTTACACTTTACTCCCTTGCCACACACTTTATGATCAAGTGACACCGGTTTCATGGCTGTTCCTCTCACACCACTCTCCATCTTCCGACTCCATACTGACAATGTCTCATGTTTAGAATTTTCTCCCTCCTCATCTCCTCTTCCTGGTTTCAAGTCAACTAGCATCTATGAAACACCTACTATGTGCCAGGCATTGGTGGTATAAAGAAAGGCAAAAAAAAAAAGTCTCTGCTCTCAAGGAGCTCACAGTCTAACTTGATAGTCAACATGCAAGCAACTAGTTTATTGATCCTCCTTAATGCTAGTACCTTCCCTTCGAGATTATCTCCAATATAGTTTGCATATATCTTGTTTGTACTGTTGTCTGCATTGCTGTCTCCTCCATTAGACTGTAAGCTCCTTGAGGGCAAGGACTGTTTCTGCCTTTGTACCCTGGCACTTAGTGTAGTGATTGGCACAAAGAAACACTTGTTTTTGTGACTTGATATAAAAGATATAACAATTGTTCTTATTGGAAAACGGTAACAATATTATGATAAATATGTCGTCTAAAACAGTAGTTCAGAGCTGATATTCCAGTTTAAGCTGAAATTCTAGTGATTAGACTACCACTG